ATTATATATATATATATATATTTAAGAATTGCTAATGTAATTTATACATTAAATTAATTGTCAAATATTTATTTTGTACTAATTTCATATTAATTTAATGAATTTTTTTATTTTAAAATATAAATAAAATGGAAAAATTATAGAAATTAAAACAATATTTATTACTATTATAATTATTATGTTTTTGTTGTTTATAACAGTATTTTTATTATTTCTTTTTAATAACAAAATTAAATCAGTGTTGTTATTTTTAATGTAATTATAAATACTCTGCTTAATTAATTACAAGATAATACATGATATATATTAAATAAAAAAGGCTTCTTCTGAATGAATCTGATATGTTTGTAATCAGAATTATTTATGTAAAACATTTTTGTAGTCAGACATTTGGGCTCTCGGTTGCTGTTTATATGAAATGTCTACTCTTCGGCATGCTTTCAATGCTTGGGATTTGACTTCTTTGATGTACAAAATAGTCCAAGGACAGGTAGAAATATTTTAATTCTATTCAATTTTCCTAATATAAAAATTTTATATAATTTCAAAGTCACAAAAACTTTATTTTGTTGTAGTTTCCACCTATGCCAAAACATTACAGTACTGAACTAACTAATTTAATTTCTTCAATGCTGAATTACGATCCTAATACTCGTCCATCTGTGAAATCAATATTACAAAATGAATATATGCATAAACATATTAAAAATTTTCTTCAGGAGACAAGTAATTGGTAAAGTAAATAATTTTTTATTTTTTGAATATTTAATTAATTAAATCAAGAAAATAACATTATCAGTCACTTAATTTCATTTCTGTTAACAATTTGCTATCCGAAAGAAAATAAAAGAAACAAAAGTGCATGCTAGTTATAAGTTGACATGCACTTTTTTCTGCTCTTTAAAAAGTGACAGAGCTTGTAAAAAAAAAAGTTCAGTGTTGTACTCAATATATTTCAAAGTTTGAATTAATTTTTTTTGTTCAGGTATACATACCAGTATACCTGAACATATGGATGACAGACTTGTCAGTTTTTTCTTCTGTATGTTATATATTATATACAGGACATTAGACACTGTTATACTGGTGCATATGTAGCCAGCTTTAAATGGAGATGTTGATGACATCTTTCTTTATTAATAACTGAATGTTTAAATAAGCCGAACAACTATTTGATATACTGTAATAGTTCCTTTTGAAATTCTTTATGTCAGAAGAAACAAATATTGATTAAGATTAAACTAGGTTTTATTTTATTTCAGCAGCAATCAAATAAAAATTACAAAACAGTCACTGCCAACACAGCATAAATGTAAAATAGATAATAATATCAAGGAAGAAAGTAATACTGTAGTAGAAGCTATTGCAACAACATCTGAAATAAACGAAGCTAAAGCATACACAAAAAATAAGATTTCATATCCAGCAGATAGTAAGAAAATTTTGTTTAACGAGGAAAATTCTAATAATGAAGTTTTCAAATTTTCAAAAAATTTGGTTAAAAATTTAGAATTTGAGCCTAATCATATAAATGACAAATCTAATCATGTAAAAAATTTTAACAAGAAAGATCGTAAAGATTTGTTAGAAATGAATACAAGAGAAAATAATAAGGATGAAGGGACTGATAAAAGTAATAATTCAAATGGCAATAATAATATTTTAAATAAATCTACAGATTTTCATTTTCCTGGAACCTCGTGTGAAGATATTAATGAAGGAAATCACATTCGGTGCAAAAATTTAATTAGTAAATTTCAAGAAAAATCAAATTCAAATGAGTGCAGTACAGTACAAAAATGTAGCAATAATATATTATTTAAAAAAAAGAAAAACTTTGAGTTTGATGAATTAGAATCTCCGAGGAGGAGGAGGAGAAGAAGAAAATTATTGAGAGAAACTGAAGAGAAGCACTGTGAAGTTTTAGAAGAACTTCGTCCCCTTCCATTGCCACCTCGGAAACCCGTCAGTTTATTAACTAATCACGATATAACTGCATCATCAGAAACCAAACAAAAATCATTTGATTGCTTTACCGACAGCAATAAAAAAATTGATTCGTCAAGCACTTGCACATCTAAAAATTTATATTCTGTAAGTTTTTAATGTAAATATTTTAAAATATTAAGATTTTTAAAACAAATAAAATTAAATAATATATTTTATTATATTCAAAACAGATCTCAAAGCCAAATTCGGAAGCAAGACGTAGGAGGAGGGAAAAACTTCATTTGCCGAAAGAAAAACAGAAGTTTTTGTCAGAATCAGATATTTCTTCTGTAAGGTTATATTTATTAATATGTTTGTAAAAAAATTTATTTTTTTTCATACATAACAAATATCTAATTGATATAATCCACTTGTGTTTTCATGAAATAACATAACATTGATACAGTGATGAGTCTTAAACCATTATACATAACAATAACAGAATGATGATAGAGTATACAAATCTGTCATTTGTCTTACTACTATAAAATGTTTTGAAAATTTATACATTCTAGTACATTATAACAAACTAACTACAAAAATGTATAATAATCAGTTTCACAAACAGAGTTCTAAAATAAATTTACTCACAAACAAAAATGCATACCTCAAATTAACACATTCATCTGTTTATAACAGACATCTTCAGGTATATATTAAGGAGTAAAGAGCTATTATCATACTCAATAGTAGATGCAAAGGCAACTGTAGCAATTAATTCACTCATTTAAAAATGAACGATAGGAAAAAACAGTGTTAAAAATGTAATTTGTTCTACACTATAACTATTAATACATCATAATTAATAATAGACTGCAAAAGCAAATGATTGTTGAGTGGGAATGACATAAAAACATTTGCAATCTATATGGGATAAGCTGCCAAATATCACAATAAATTATTAATTAAAAAAAGTACACTTCTTTCTTCAATGTAATAAATATTTTAATAAAAATTGGATAGATTTCATATAGTTATTTTGATGATAATGCTAAAAGATTATTTAATGGCCATAATGTAGTTTCACATAAAAAGAAGTCAAGAATTGAGTGTTTGTATGAAATGCATATACTTTTCCCACATTTGGGACTTACTTAAAATTATTTATTATGTAGATATTTGTGTTAAAAATATGATATATTTTTTAAATAGTTTTATATGGTTCAGAATAAGCATATATGATATATTTCCAAATGCAATCTTTCCACAATTGGTACACAGTAGAGCCTCGAAAACTCAGCACTTGATAACCCGGCACTCCGGATAACTCGGCCACACCTTGGCAGGGCAAAAAAATCCTTAGTTAATTAATTTTCATTATAGACAGCTTTATAAAAGTATAAAAGCTCTCATAAAGTATTTTTCTGAGGTCTGTCTTATCAGGTAAATTACTGTACAAAGTGTATTCATTAATTTTCATTTTCATGTAGTAAAGGCTCTATGCCTTCATAAAGGACATACTTTTCCTTTGTTTAAGGGTATTTGGGCAGTTTATTCTCTGTTGTATTCTCAAGCAAACAATACATACAAGTACAGTACAATATTTTCTGAGGAAACACGCATACTTATCCTTTTTTAACCCCATTCCCGATAACCCGGCATTTTCACAAACTCGGCCATCCTTCGGTCCACATTAGGCCGAGTTTTCGAGGCTCTACTGTATCAGTAGAATTAATATATACAACAACCTGATACACTTGTAGTATTAAATGATCCGTCAGATTATTTAACAGGCTATATTAAGGTAATTAATAACCAGTTAAAAAGCAATTTGGCTAAAGATAGATGATTAAGTTGCCATCTGATGATAAATTTAATAATTAGAAATAAAGTAATTTTTAATTTAGAATACTATGGAAGGAAAGATCAGCTTGGAGCAGGATCTTTCCTTCCATAGTATTCACTTACATCTAGATGCATTACCAGTTATGTTATCTGGATCTGATCATCACTTCCATAGCTATTAATTAATTAACAAGTTCTGGAAGTAGATATACTACTATGGGACTTACTACTACTAGAGTTTTTCTCAAATAATAATATAGTTCCAATATGGCATAGATAGAAAGGAAAAAGATACCTACATTGTTACTAGCTCCGATTTTAAAAGTTTGTTTTTAATCCGATATTTTTTCATTGTTTTTAAAGGAATTTTTAAAAACTTACAGTGACCAAAGCAGTCTAAAGAAAGGTTGATTGTCAAAAGCCATATTCTAGAACAATGAAAGTGAATAAATGGTGACTGTTCTCTAACAGGCTGTCTTCAATTTTAATTTTATTTTTAATTAGCATTTAACGTTTATGTTGTAGTTTAAAAATATATATTCAGATATGTTGCTTGGACATATATAAACATTTCAAAGCCCAATATTTTATAATGAAACCATACAATTGCCAGATTTAAATCAGACTACTTTGCTGCTACTATTAATAATTAAATACTGAGTAATACTGAGAATATTCTAAATTATTTATTTAATCATAATTATTAAATTTAATAAGAGATGGCACCTAATGCTTACCTCTAGTACCAAATTACTCAGTATTTAATTATTAATAGTAGCAGTAAAGTACCCTAATTTGAATCTGGCAATCATTTGATTTCATTATAAGATATCAGATTTTGAGAAGTTTATATGTGTATATATACATCATGCCAGGGTAAAGCAATAGTCAACTGAGTGCCATAGTGGGTGATTATAGGCCATGAATGCTGAGTTATCCCCACTTGATGCCATAAGTAACAGAAGACAGTTATATCTAAATTAAATATGTCTGGAAGTGAGGGATTAGATGGAGGTCCAGGTAGCATAACTAACAATGCAGATGCATTGTTAGTTATGCTACCTGGTACACAGTTATGGGTTGGAGTCCCGCTCCAATTCTTTTCTTCCAGAATATTCTAAATTATTTAATAAATATTAATTTAATTATTAATGGTAGTGGTAAAGTAGCTTGATTTAAATTTGGCAATCATTTGGTGATATTATTGACATTTATTATCCATCTAATTTCAAATTAACTCTCTTAAAATCCTTAATTGAGTCATTCACAGGCCAAATCAATTAACTCCATTTGTAAATCCTTAATATAATCGTTATTATTTTTACATTTTTTGCATAAATAATTTTATATATTGTTATATTAAAGCATAGCTTTAATGTAAAAATACATTCTACAATGTTTATTTAAATTTAAAGTTTAAAAGGAATTTTTTTAAATAATTGATATTATTAATTTTTATACTTTTTGTTTTGTAGAGTTAATCAATTTGGCAAGTGACTGGCTCAATTATGAAATACATTATAAAATAATAATATTAATGCTGTTTACAAATTGCTTTTTTATTAGGCTAATGAAGAACATGACATTTTGGGAGAAAATGAAACTAAAGAAGAAAAAAAGTAAAATATAAAATTTTTAATTTGATTTAATTTTTTCAAAATGGAAAATCTCAAATGATAAATAATTTATTTTAGTGATGTGGAAATTCAGGAATTTATTGGATTATTAAATAATACTTTACAATTAAGCAATCAAAGAAAACAAAATTCTTCTGATTATGCCAAAAACATTTCAATTGATCCTTCCAATGAAAAACATTCAATTGACAGAAGTAAGTATTAAAGTAATTTTGAAATTATAATCTAATTAGTTAGTTTAATAACGGTACATGACGAATGGACGACCAATGCAGTCGTGGCATTGGCCCACCACTGTGGGGATGTGGATTTGAATCTGGATGGATGACCTTGGGAATTTTTCTTGGACTACATTTAGAGGAATTCTACTTTACTCTCTATAAAACCTCATCATAGGATACATCAGAACCCATTCCTCAAACCCATCATGAACTTTTTTTTTTCCAAAGTCCCTTTTAATGCTCACAGGGAGAAGAGAATTAAATATGGAAAAAATATAAATAATATAACTTAGATACTATTTTATTTTATAACTACAATATTTTTACGAATGCTTTTGTAATTTATTTTGGAAGACATATGCATAAAATAAAATCCATTTGAACATGTAAAACTTTAAAGGTAAGATTTATTTATAGATTAATCTTTAGTAAATTCATATTTATTATGTGAATATAAAAGTAATATGGAAATGCAGCTGTCCACAAGCCATTAATTCATTTTGACTAACAGGAAATGCTGGATATGTAAAGACTTGGCACTAGGAGTGGGAAATGTTTTGTTTGCTGTGGAAAATAAGTCATATTGGCATTGTACCAAGCAGATTATCATATCTCCGTTCAACAATATTTGAAAATGAATGTCAAGAATTGAAGTTACTTAAAAATTAATACTGTATAAACATTGTTGGCATTTATATTTCTTTTTGTTTGTATAAACTGCTGGATTATATCGGGCTAGGATATGGCTACTGTTAGCAATTAATCCAGCAGTTCATTTGGCAAATAATCAGGTTATTGGTAGTTTATACTTGAAGAATATAATTATTAAAATTAGCAAATTAATATGGAATAATAAATTAAAAAGTTTGTTCAATTCTATTATTGATAAATTCTAAGAAATCTTCAAATGCTAGATTTACTAAAACACCTGAACACTGTCTTCTTTATCAAGAACAGCTTGAATTTCTCTCAGATAAGTGTATGCAATTTGAATTCATCATTGTGCACTCCCTTCTCAATTTACATTTACAATTTTTATTGATATAGCTTATAAAATATTCAATAGCTTTAAATCTAAATAATTGCTCTTAACCTCCTGGATCATTTCTCTACTGATCTAGAGATTTAAGAGGCTAACTATGGCAAAACATGAAGATATGCTATCAAACTGAAGCAGTCTTTGTGACAGACAAGCTATGCTAGATATTTTCACCATTCTCTCATATTTTTTAACATGCATTCAACTTATATACAGGAAATCCTCGTTAGTTTGAAACTCAAGGGAAGAAAAATAATCACGACTTTGAATTATCGAGTTTTGAATTATCCAAGATTTACATATTTCTATACAATATGCCAAATGCTATGTAACTGATGTAATTTATTAAGCAAATGGAATACAGCTACATAATCAAAATGCTATTTTCATTAATTAATAATAATATAAATAAACTGCAGATAAAGAGCACATGTCCGGTGAGAACCTTGAGCTGCCAGAAGATAGGTTTTATAGAGAGTAAAGCAGAATTCCTCGAAATGTAGTCCAAAAGTATTTTGAAAGTGGCCCGAAAAGTAATAAGTTGATCAAATGTTTTAGTGCCTTACAAATATCTCAGTCTGATACTTGCAGCCCAATCTTGCAATTCCAAAACCCAGCCATATTTTATGAAATAAGAGAAGGTAGTCCATGAGTAAGATGATACCCAAAAATGTGTTACTGTAAAAGCAAAGCCATGTTAACTAGATTAGAGTTGTTCTTGATCTGTTGACCTCTCATAGTATGGAGGCACTTCAATCTAAAGGAACAAGTTAACATACACATATTGCAATTCATACAGAAATAGGCATATTTCAAACTAACCAAATTCCTAAACATGTAAATCTCTATATCCACAGCTGGGACAAAAGTACAGTTACGAACTATCCGAGTTTGAATTAACGAGGATTTCTTGTAATGGCAAACGAGTGGTTTAAGAACTACATATGTTTAATTATAATAATCAGATATTAATTACCAGTTTTTCCATTGAGTGATTGGTGTAATTTACTATTTTATAGGTACTTACGGCTCTCTGAATAAATGTAATATACATCACGTAAATTAGGCTTTTTTTAAATAAGATTCCAATTATATTTAGCATGTAATTTATCTACTGAATATCAAGAAAGTTTTTGAAAATTTTGTATTAAATTACATTACTACATATAATTAAACACAGTTTTTGCAATAAGAATTAATTTTACTTATTTTTTCTTTATTTAGGCACATTAATTAAATCTCATATTATTCAGAGAATAGACTTGTTGAAAAGGTATATTGCATTGTAGAGTTGTTATATGTTACATATATTTGTTGTTGCTAATTTAAAATATAAATTTTTAAGGGACTGCATCAAAGCATTGGGTGAAAATCGTTTAGATGAACTGATAAAAACTATAGAGCCTACTACAAATTTTGAAATTTTACAAGTAAGTTAATTTCTGTTACATATAATTGAATATTTGTGTAAATTTTATAGAATAACTAAATTAAAATAGTAAAAAGTCAAACTTATGTCTATTGTAAAGACAAAATAGAATTCTGTATAAATTTTGAGTAAATATATATAAAATTCTTCTAAATAAACTCCAAATTTCTCCTAAATATTGTATAATTAATGTAAAATCAAACCTCATAATTTGATATCAAAGCAGAAAATCATAAATATTTAAAATACTAAAATGAAAAAAAATGTTACTTGAGCATTTAAAAAGTCACATTTCACTTATTGTATATTCTGATAGCAACTTCTAATTTGAGTTAGAATTTACAATGATAAAGTTTAATTTCTTTATAATTTCATCATAAATTTTTTTAACAAACAAGTATGATTATGTAATTATTACATTAATATAATATTTTATCCAGAATTCTAATAATTAAACAAATACTGTGAATATTTACACAGTCAAACCTCCATTTAATATCACCATTTGTTTGTGCTCCTTCAACTTAGTGCTAGATTCAGAGGTAAAAACACTAAATAAATTATTTCCATGAGAATTAAGCTTTTTGTACAAGAATCAAAAATTTAATAGGAAGTTTCTGTCCTCATCTTGAAGACAAAATTTTACTATTGTGTCATTCTGCGTACATAATTTTCTGATCAAGCAGTGTATCTTCTAGGAGAATCACTGGTTCAAATTTTCATGTCTACTGTAGTCTGATAAATTTCCTACAAGTTTGATGGTTTGAAGATATTGATAACCTATGTATAACAAAAGTCACAGTTATGCTGGGGTTTACAAGGAAATAATTGAACACTTTCCATAACATCAGTTGATAATCATTTTGGTAATCTCGACAACCATGCTAGTTACCATCAAGCAAGAACAGCAAAAGGATTTACTATAAAAAACAAATCAGTTGTTTAAAGTGGACTTCCGACAGTCCAAATATAAATCCTATTAAAAATTGTTGTTGATATAAATTTCATCTAATGTTTTTCGTATCTATCCTATAAGATGACCCCGGGATTTTGGGGTGTCTTTTTTTATGATTCAAATATCATCTTATCTGTGCAGATATGTGGTAAATACCCTTTATCAGTCATATTTAAATTTTGTAATTAATTAATAAAGGTTCAGTCAATTCAATTTATTGATTTTTCATATTTCATTGAGCGTACATTGAAGAATCAATTTCTAATCCATCAAAATAATTTTATGTAAATGAATTGTTTAGAATTTGTTTATCTTGGAATATATGCTGAAATTAATTTATCTTTATTTGCTATTTTGTCCTAAACTGATCTTTAAAACAATAATTTATGAATCTATATAAGTCTAGAACAGGGCTTCTTAAACTATGGGTCGCGACCCCATTTGGGGTCGCAAGATTTTAATGCAAAATATTGAAAATAATTTGTGAGAGTTTGAAAATGGCACGCTTTGTGTCATAGGTTTCATGAGTTGCACTTTGTGTCACTTATGGTGTAGCGAGACAACAATTCAGCAACACTAGTGTGTACTAGTATAGTGTTGTCGCTTTTCAGTGTATTCAGTTGTCACTGTTCCATTGTAACACAAGAATGAACTATGGTAGTACACCATTATTGATTTTGCAAATTTGTATATATCTTTGTGATTTTTTCGCAACCCAAAAAACATAAAATAATCATAAATGGGGTCGTGAATAAAAAAAGTTTAAGAAACCCTGGTCCAGAATTCTTTGCTTTTATTGCTAATGTTCCATTGCTATTTATTTATTGTACAATAGTATTTGTTGATATTATTTAACTGAAGGTGTCAATTTTTTAAAGAATATTTTATTCAATAACCTATTTATATCAATATAAACTTTGAAAGTATTTGTAAAAAATTCTGTTTTCATCAAATTTATTTTATTAACAACATTAAAACAAGTTAATGAAAAGAATTATTATTAATATTGCTGATGACTTTTTTTTTATTACCATTAACTAGTTTCTGTCAACATACATATACATCTATAGTTTTGTTTTTTACACTTAAACAAATTACATAATATAGAAATAGAAAATTTAAAATACACATTAAATAAGGCTGAAAACTTTCTTTATAAAATATACAGCAGATAAAATTATTGTATATATATATATATATATACAGTAATTTTGATTAAAATATATAATATTATTGGGTTGTTCCCAACTAGCAGATATAATAATTAATTGATTGACACGATGTATCAATATTATATAAAAACATTCAGAGATAACAATGACTAACTCCAATTTAAATTTTACTTGGGATATAAGAAGTCGTACGAAATATGGAGCGTAGCTACATGCAGCCAGGTGCTAAGACAGCTAGTCCAGAAGTGTCTCCAGTCTTCCTACGCTATTGCTCCAGCCCTTTTACCGCTTTACAGAAAGTGGTCCGCGACTGATATATGTACATGAAATAGCTCACGATTGTTACGGCTTAACAAGAAGTAGATCATGACAATATATATATATATATATACACTGGATAACAAAAAAATAATGCACCATGAAGGACTTGTTGGATTTGAATAAAAATTGGTATGTTGCATCATCATAGCTAGATATGTAAATGATTAGCTTTTGGGAACAGTTTCTTGTGTCATATTGCCACCAGAGGAAANTAATAAGTGTATAATAATAAAAACTTATATAATACTTTGTAATGAAAATGATTTCAAAAACTTTGAACATACTTGACAAACCTTTATCTGCAGTAATGCTTAAATTTCAGGAACAAACATTTTTGGCCTCACCCAAGGTCTGCTTCAGAATTAAATGAATTGAAAACAGGATTCCAAACTTGGAACAACTTCAAATATTGGGTTTTAAAATAAATTGGAACATATGCACATTGGTGACTTCTTGCTCTTTGCTTACGTAGCACCAGGCGTATGATAGCACATTGTCATCTTTAGAGTTTATACATCTCCCCGTCTGGTCGGCCCTGTATATTTCAAGGGCCTCGAGGTTCCTTTCATTTAACCTGAAGCAGACCTCGAGTGAGGCCGAAAATGTTTGTTCCCGAAATTTAAGCATTACCAGAGATAAAGGTTTGTTGAGTGTGTTCATTAACACCTGTAATCAGGTTAGAAGATATTGTGAAAACTTTGAATTTTCTATATTAAAGCATGTCTTTGATTTTACATAAAGTTAAAAGGTGTTATTTGGTTATAAAATCCTATTTCTGCAATAGCAAAAAACAAATATTCTTCCAATTTTAACAATTTAATTGATCGAATTTACAATTAGAAAAAGTTCCTTATCTTAATTACAATGATCGAAATTGGCTCCGGTTTATAAATGAAAGCTCCGATTTTTTTTCAATAGCCACTATTGGAGCATCAGTTTGGAAAACATACTGATACATCAGAAACATTCCAAAATTGTGAAATGAACCATCTTTATTTATTTTCCTTCAAAACAATGTACGAATTCCATTATTATCAGTATCAGTTACATCTCTAGTAATAATGGATTAAATGATAAATTTTCACCATTTTACTTTTTAATAAAATTAAATTTACAGAATAATATAATGTAATTACAGGAAATTCTGGAGAAATCTAACTTTGAAGTAAAATATTGAAATTTGAGTTTTAAAATTATATAATCAAATTGAAAAAGTGTTGGAAAATTGCACACAAAATGTTTATAAGGGTTGTGTTTGTGTATATTGTTTTGTGATTTTAAGATGTGTCGTGATTTACTAATCGCTATTTACCACACAACTTCCGGCACATTGAGTTTTCAATCTCAAATGTTTTTGGCTTTATTTGGAGGCCCTCTTTGGGTGAAATAACATGACAGAATTATAGTGTACTGAGCTTCCATATATTTTAAGTTATTCGAATATCACATATTTCATTGGAAATTTCCGATGAAATATGTGGGAAATGTCTCCTGGTTACTCTACTTATATGCCCACATTGAATGTCCTAGAACAATTTTTTCCGGTCATCTTTAGAAAAAAATCAAAATGTCTAAATTTTACCTTTACAGCCCGATACATTGTTATTTTAAAAAATTTTTTGGAGGAGAACTATGCATCCACTGTATACATAATCATAATAATTAAAATTTTTCAATTCAGATGTCTCTTAAAAGGGTTATATGGTAAAGTCTCCAAAATTTAGAATCATAAATGTTGACTTGATATTTTCTTTTCTTAATTAATATTGGAACTAGTTAAGAAGTATTTGACTAAAGTACTGCATTTGTTTTGTTCCAGTAGAACTGTTTAACACTTTTCATTTTGTAAAAAGCAAACGAGTAAGATTTATCGGCTTGCTTTAATGCTTTCCGGCTATATCCAGGCCTACACACGATTCTGAATATACAGTAATACGCTGCTCAAAGCAGATTTGGTAGCATAGCTGGCACAGGTTGCTTTTGTGAAGTATCCATATACAAACATACATAGACCAGCCAGACAAGGGATTACAACAGACATAAATACACCAAATTTTACATCATGGCATGCACAACATGCAGGGGTGATACTGAATATACTGGTGCAACGTGCAATTCAACCCAGTGTAAATTTAGCATCAGCTGTTTGAGCACATTCTATGAACTGATAAGGTACTGTACATTTTTCCAGAATGGAGTGTGTACACCAACACTGTCCCATTCTGGGACCACCGTGTTCCCCAGACTTGACTCCGCTGATTATTTTCTTGCTGGATCATCTAAAAGCATCAGATAGATACAAGACATGTAGGATGGCAATGCCAGTATACTACTTGTGACCTATAAGGCAACTCTAACCTTTTGTAAACAGTTGAGAGATTGTGTGAATTGAAAACAACATAACTCATAAAAAAATATATTAAAACGAATTTATTACACCTTCATTAAAAACAAATTTCTTTTATCTATTTACAATCTTTTTAATAACATCTGTTAACAACAAATATTTATGAAAGAAATGTGGAAATCGCCACCAAATACTTCCAAACACTAAAGACAAACTGGTCAGTCCTAAAAGATAAAAAGACACAGATCCAAATTCCCATTTTGTCGGTTTGTAGGCGGGACGGACCACTTCTGTTATGACGTCTGCGGGTACGTATGTGTCGTCTTGAAGCTGAAATTTTAGTAATTGTCCCAATTTTAACTACTTTATCGATTCTATTATGTAATAAAAATACTCAAGCATACCTTCTTCAAATACATTGCAAGAAATTTCAGTTCTTCGTAGAGATTATGTGCGTTTTTAATACTTTGTTCGGTTTCTTTAATTAAATTTTGTACGTTAAATGGTTGCTGTACGAAAAATAATAATGTGTTAAGAATTGTTCATTATTCTAATAACATATGTACTTATTTTATTCACGCGTCAAAAGTTAGCATTTGAAAGTAAATTCTACACACTAAAATTGACTTTATCATCATCTTTTTGAAACATTTGAAAGATTATTCTTAGCAACGATCTGTTTGATAATTAATTAGCAAAACTGAAACCTATTCTATTGATTTGTTTCAATCAATTTATATTGATGCTCCTGTAGAATGTCTTTCAATTTTTAATATCTAAACTTCATAGAACAACACACATCTTTCAATATAATGCTTTATGGATAATGTTTACATGAAATACAAAAACTGGTTTTGCTACTAGCATTAGTTGATGTCTTCTGCAATTAATTTTTGAAATGTTCATTCATAATGGTTAGGAGTTTGTTATAATTGTAATTAACACAAAAATAGTTTTTCAGGAACTATTTCAAAGGGAAATTCTTTACGAACTGTTGCACGTAGACTTCCCCTTTATTGTGATTGCCCAAAGTGACTGGATCCCAAAATATAAAGATGTTAGATGGGACATGTCAACATCGGATGAATCGCATGACCAATTCTGGTCGACAATTGTCGGCTTTCTGAAATCAGAGATAGACATTATGAACAACCAATGGACACTTTACTTGACCATATACACTTGTTTATAAAATAACCTGTGGCAATAGCAACAACGAACAGTTAATAATGGCTCCAAATGTAGCTTTTTCTTTTTAAATTTATATGTCAAATAATTAGCAATAACCATCAATTTCCTGTTATAATTGATCTGCAAAACACCTTGGTACTTAATTGTCAATTGGGCTACTGTTTCTAAAATTATATATTAAAATTTTTATGCCATAACTTGTGTGATTCATTTTTGGCTTCCTATTTTTGAATAAGCCCAATAGTCCAAAAATCATGAAAAAAAATCTGTGACAACAATTTAAAACAAATTCACAAAATATTTTGACATTTTATGAATTTTATTTTAAAATACAATTAAATCACCAAATGATCGCCTAAATATCGGGCTATAATAAGGCTAATTAAATGATTGGTATAAAGTAATTTGACACTAGAGGTAGACGTTAGGCGCCATCTCTTAAGTAAATTAATAATTATAATTAAATAAATTTAGAACCTTCTGGAAAAAGAACTTGCCCGGAATGGGGCTCGAACCCGCAACCTCCGCTTGCCATGTGGTGAGCTTGCCAATTACACCACCCAGATCCCGAGCGAGTCCTCGCTTCCAGAAGTATATTACATTAGATATAACCTTACTTGGTTAAATACAGCACTGACTGGGGACGACTCCATCGCCCACGGCCTAAGACCATCTCCACAACGGCACTCAGCCAGCTATCGCATAACCCAGTGAAGTATATATATATATATATAAATTACGGTCTTAGGCCGTGGGCGATGGAGTCATCCCCAGTCAGTGCCGTATTTAACTAAGTAAGGTTATATCTAATATAATATACTTCTGGAAGCGAGGACTCTGTCTGGATGGTGTAACTGGCAAGCACACCGCATGGCAAGCGGAGGTTGTGGGTTCGAGCCCTGTCCCGGGCCAGTTCTTTTTCCAGAAGGTTCTAAATTTATTTAATAATTTATTTATTTAATTATAATTATTAATTTACTTATGAGATGGTGCCTAACGGCTACCTCTAGTGTCAAATTACTTTATACCAATCATTTAATTAGCCTTATTATAGCCTGATATTTAGGCGATCGTTTGGTGATTTATTGTATACTACTCTGGCTTTGAGATGTTATTATTTATAAAATATAATTGTCATCCTGGCTTTTTTTTATTAATATAATTATTAATTCAGATAATATTTTTATGGGTATATTTAGATAAAAAGTAATAGCATGTCGTCTAATAAATTTCACGTTTTTGCAACATTTTATCACAGCTGTGTAATAATTGTTTTAAAAAATGAATGAATATATATTTATAATAACAATAATGAAAAATAATAATTTCAGGCTGCCTACAAAACTGAATTTTTCTATTATATTAGGCAACCTAGGAATTATTTTTTCTTTCATAGTGTGTTAGGAAAGACATCCATTATAATAATTCATAATTCATAACTTAAATTCTGATATCATTAAAAATAAAACCACAATTTATGTATAAATAAAAAGTCTTTACCTGACTAAGTTCTAATATTCTTGGATGGCTCTGAATTTTATGTCTCAAATAAATAATGGTACCTCTAAGATAAGCTAGATGTCTGCTAATGTTAGACATCATCATCACGGCTTCAGTACAGCTGAAATTATTTTAAAATTACTCTTAATGGCATTATTCTACATTAATCTCAAATATATAATTTAAATATTGTTAGATATTTATATAAACTCTGTTCTCTCAATTAGTTGTATGTCGTTCAGAACTTAGCATAAAGTTGCTATTGAAAACAAATCTTACAGGAACACTTCTTTTGACAGAAAAAGTAGACTTATTTTCTATAATTTAGAATGGATATGCATTTCGAGCTCTATGCCCCTCTTCAGTCCTTATTTTATTGTGTGTATTGGTAAAAACTAAGAACTGAAGAGGGGCATAGAACCTGAAACGCATATCCATTCTAAATTATAGAAAATAAGTCTACTTTTTCTGTCAAAAGAAGTGTTCCTGTATGATTCGTTTTCAATAGCAACTTTATGCTAAGTTCTGAAGGACATATAGAACATACAAAAACTGTTCTCTGTTAAAAATTATGAAAATAGAGGGTCAGTCAAAAAAGGAGAGCTTATCACAGTACTAGCAGAACATGTTTGTGCAAATAAGAATGCAGAACCATTATGGAATGAAGCTAGAATTATGACATCTAAAAGAAACAGTATCAGAATAATAGAAGAATTAATAACAGCAAAAGAAAAAAATCATGTAATTAATAAAAAATGTAAGGGGTCTGTCTGGCTTGGTCCATAGATATGGATAATGAGATCAATAAAAAAAAAAAGAGGCGAAAGAAAAAGATCACTAAGAATGAACTAAGAACAAACTAAATATGAACCATCTTTAATGTTTAATTGGCTTAAAAACTGATTATTAAGTAACTAGAAATAACAATGGGTTTAGGTTTTATTTTTGAATTGAATAATATATATTGAAAAACTTTTAAAAAAATCAAATGTACAAATAATAATGTTCCTGTCTTAGGAAATAAAATATCAAGTGAAAGATTTGAACATATAGTGGAAGTAACAAACCTGTAACCATTAAATATGCAGTAACTAACATTTATTAATCTAATGTTTTCAGTCCTTTAGATTGACCATCTTCAGAAAAATGCATAAAATTTAAAATTTCACAAAAAGAACAAAGCCATCCGTTGTCCAAAATGGTTTTTATAAGCTTCTATTTTTGGAATATAAAAATTTTAAAAACACACATAGGTTATTTTTACATATTATACAATATCACACGATATGTTGCAAAATCAATACACATCTAAAACATTTATTTCCCAAAGCAAAATAACCTATGCATAGAACCTTCCAAATTACACTTTTCATATTTGTACTCTCGCACTTGCATCCTCTTACATCATTTGCTTGTAGATTTTATTTATCAATACTTTCCAGTGAAACCATGGTGTTTTCTCTGTAATTTACTGTCTGCCCCCTTTATGTATCCTTATGAATGTGCAATGCTTCAGCATATTTAATCCATTGCTTATCCTGCTTAAATAATTTACTTACTGCATATTTAACAGTTATGGATTTGCTATTGTGATAGTGCAGTTACAGAAAGGATTAAGGATACACTGGAATTCGAAAATTTGAGAAAAAGTTACATTCTGTCAAGTTTTAAATCTGTATCCGGAGATGAGTTGAGAGAGCTAAAAAAACTTTATTTAAAAAGTATTAAATGACCTCTACAAAGAAATAGTAGTTTTCTAAACATATTTCAACATATTTATATAGTAAAATGCAAATCTGACTATTAAGCACATGATACTTATAGATTGATAATCATATATTATATAGCCTGTTAATTTTTAATAATAGGACAATATTATGAAGAAATAAAGTTTTTATTTTTTTAAATTGTCTAGTGTTTCTTAAATAAAAAACATGATTTTCTTAAGTAATATAATTTTTCTGATTCTATTTCTCATCAGAAAGCATTAAATTATTATTCATGCACTAATTTATTATGGATGCTTGAAATTTAGCCAAAGCCAGCTCCAACAACTATTTATCTATTAGTAATCTTAACTACATTACATTCGAAATGACTTCCTCAACATATTGCCAACTCTCACTAGTACTAATCATTATTGAGTGTTATGCTACACTTACATATGTATTATAACCAAAACCCAAATCAGACAATTTAGGTTTAAGTTTGATTCAAAACAGTAAACAAACAAGTGATAAATTCATTGAAATGGTCGAAAAGGAGAACTAAAAGATGGAATGTCAATCCATGCTCTACTTATTTTGTGTTGTGCAAAAAGACTTTTTTTTGTAATGCTCGAAGTTTGTAAAAGTAATTTGATTTATTAAAAAACAAGATTTTGTTTTTATTTGTGAAAAATAAAGGGCATGAGTTTATGCCCATCAATTTATCTTACATCAAGATTACAATCACTACACCGTTAATCACTAAATCACTCATAATTCACTGCAATTATGAGTGATTTATGCAATCACCACACCATTCATAAATTGTAAAAACGAGCCAAAACACTCATCAAATACCCTTAATTCACTATTAAATTAATTGAAACCTAATTAATTTTTAGACTGATGCACAAAACAGAACTAATAAAACAAAATAATTGAACTAGACATTTCCTAAGTTTAATAAATTCACTTGTATACAGCAGTCTTGACCTCTTGTCCAATAGAACAATTTATGAATGTTTTCTGAAAGCAGAACATATTAAACAAAAATATTTTTTCACAAATTAAAGACAAAGTCGCTCTAAAAATATATTTTAGACAATCACCATTTTTACATAGTGTTCTAGAACAAATTATAGACAGCTGGACCTTCCTTTTTAGGCTACACAACTGCCTACATTTAAAAAAGTTCCTTAAAAACACAAATACCAATAAAGATTAAAAAATTCTTTAAAATTGGAATGGTAAATCTTGCGACATCTTGTTAGTTCATCCTTGTCCAGTTGGGTTTCTGGCTCCTTTTATCTACCGAGGATTAGTGCTGACAAATGTAGATTACGCCAAGATATCCCTCTGGTGACGAATTTTAACGATATATTTGAATTTCCATCGGATTGTTTAATTTGAATTTCCATCCGATGGAAATTCAAATTAAACAAAAATATGTTTTTATAATCTTCTAAACTAAATAAATTGATGGTAACCACCAATATAAACACACATTTACATTGTACATAAAAGATTTTTATAAGATTGAACTCATCAATAATATTTAAAATTACATTAAAAAATGAAATATAAAACTTTAAAAATTTGTTAACAATTATTAAAAATAAATTAATTTTGTATTAATTATATAAATACCTAAGAATATTCTTATCTTGAATTTCTGGTGTTTTGGAGGTCTTGTATTGACTTGCATTTAAGCAAACAATTTCTTTTAATATTACTTCTCTATCATTTGGATCTATGACTCCAATCTATATTTAAAAAATAAAAAAAAACTGATTTATTCTTTTTATTATATTATATTATATTAATAATCTCGTGCTTTGTGGCCACCTCACTTATGTGGCTATCCCAGAGATTCCCCTGTAAAATCCCCATAAATTTGTAAAAAATATACCTTTTTTAAGTCTTCTTCATTCAACGTAAGTAAATCTTTATAAGAGAGTTCATTTTCGTAAAAAATTGGTAACAAATCACCCCGGCCAATTCCAACAAAAAATAACTCCAATTCACTAAAGTGTGTAATATTTCTAGAAAGTAAGTAACAATTTTTGAATTTAATTTAAAATTACCATATTTTCAATAAATTATGATTATTGAATAAATAAAATAAATTTTACAATCGATAGTTATAGTATTGAATATATATATATATATAAACAAAGAAACTTCCAAGCTTATTTGTCCAATGCTAATTCTCTCAGTTATAACGATTATTTTACATGGAAAAATTATTATAAATAAAGCATTATTTACATGAATTCAAATAAAACAAATAATGCTGAAAGCAAAAAAAAAATTAATCAATTTTTTGCATACATTTTTACATTCAACATGGCTTTATCTTTGATTTGAAATGTTCATACCACCAGTGAATTAAGCTTGCAAAATAATTTAAGTAGTTTATAACAGAACAATCTTGTTAAGGAAAAAAAATATTCGATATTTAATCAAATAATAAAATGTGTAGTAGTAATTATATATTTGATTAAAAAAAAAGTGTTTTACAAAACAAAACAGAGTTATACAAAAATGACTAATAAGAAGAAATCAGTTGTGAAAAAATAATATCTTATGAAGACAAGAGATGACTGTTCTCCTAATTAACAATCTCATTACAGGCAAATAAACAATGGAAAAAGTATATTGAAAAATAAAAAAAACTTTTATCTTCAGAATTCATCATTTCATAGTCACCACTGACAAACCAAAAAAGCATGAATCTTCATTTACACAAACAATTTTTATTTGAGGCTACACCCCTGTAAAAAATGTATATTGGTTAAAAAAAAATGGATGTTGGTCATTTTTTATGAACTATTTGTTTTAACTTATTGTCACCAGAAGACCTTTTTAAACCAATTTACATTTATTACATAGGTGTAAGCCTTAAATAAAAAGTCATCTCTGTAAACGAAGATTTGTTTTCTTTTTTATTTATCAATGGCGACTGAAACAATAATTTTGTAGACGAAATTTATTTTGTATTCTTCAATATACAATTATTTAACAAAATAAACAATGTATATAACCATAAAATCAAACATTAATAACTAAATAACAAGAAAATTACTTATTTATTGTATGATGCATTAAGGATTAATAAATTAATCAATTATTAGTTAATTATTTTTATAAGCATAATAAAGTATTTGAAAATAAATTATAAGGAATTCATTTAGTGAGATTAAATAATCAATGTAATCTAATATGAAAAAAATAAGCTGATATTTTTGGTTGTTTCAAATGTTTTTGAACATATTCATATAAATTATAGAAATTTGTTTTTATATCATTGCTTTAATATTAAATTCCAATAATTATAAGCAAACACTATTAATTAATTACCACTACAATGTGTCAGTTATATAACAAATTACTACATATATCATGATTAAAATCAAAATTTTTTAAAAATATCTTGGTGTGATAAATATTTATTAATGCAAAATCATTTTAAAATAAGAGTTTCAGTATAATCAAATTGAAAATTATTCTATCCTTGTGTTTAACTAGTTCTGTTATTAAACTTTCATGACCCAAGCTAATTCTATTTGCCATATGTTCTACAACTGTGCTTAATGTAAACGTAATTATACATGATTTGCCATCTTCAGTCTTGTAATTTTTGGAGATTCGAATACACACATATATTAAAAATATAAATATGTTCACATTTAATGATATTTTTGAAACATGTATTCTAAAATTAACTAAACAATTATTGGGTAGATGAAAAAAACTTGCATATATATTGATATAACAAACAAAAAAGATAATAATAGCATTTTTCTTTTGAATTTTTATAGGTTTATTAATACATTAAAAACATACAAACCTCACACAACTAGATCTGACTCTCTCATGAATTTTGTGTGGATCATTATATTCCTTTTCAAAGGCTTCAGTCAGAATTTCTGCAATCTAAAATGTAATTAAATATTAAAAGAGTTTTATCATGTCAAAAATAAGTTAACTTTACTAATTTAAAATCAACAAATATTCACTTAGATTGCAAATATATAAATTTTTTAACAAAATTTTATCCTGAAAATTTCTTAAAATCAACTCCAAATTTATAAAGAATTTCAGATAATTCACTTTATAATAAAATCAATGTAATATTATTTCTCTCAAAATAAAAATTATGGACGAGTAAATGCAAGATGCATAATTCTTACTTCGGGAACTTGCAATCAAACATCAAATAAAAATTTCATAGCACTGACATTTCAAAATATAAACATTTTAGAAATTAATCTGTCAACTAATTAACATTAACCAAAACATAAATTATGCAAACAATGCAAGATTTAAATTATATTTTTATAATTCTTTCATCACTTTTCTGATGTTGGAATAATGCCAGTATTCAAATTAAAGTAACCCCTCATTATATCACTCATTCAGATAAATACTTTTGTATTTGAAAGACAAAAAAATTGATTTAAGCCAATAATTTTTAAATAATCAGTTTCCATTGAATTTCTTGACATCCAATCATTAACCTTGAAACCACCATTATTTGGAGATCAAAAATAGAAAAAAAAACAGGTGAATAAATACACTGCTTGTATTACACTATCTTGATATATTACTTGTTTGGTTTGTCTCCCAACATGCGTGATAAGATGAGGGGGTTACTGTAATATTATCTAAGGAGCCATACAAATTACTTAAAACAGATGGTAAACGGTTTAATAAAATGATTAACGATCACAAGCACATATCAATTATTATTAAACAAGTAAAAATTTATATTGTACATAAAAATATATTTCTTAATAAACTATTTTTATTAATATAAAGAGATAATTACTTGACTATATCCTTTAGAATAAGCTAGATCTGCAGCATTTTGTCCATCAATTGTTTTTATTGTAGGATCAGCTCCATTATCTAATAATAATCTCACTATTTGTCCGTAGCCATGATTACTTGCAAATAACAAGGCCTAATATAATATAGAAAATTTAAGTTTTAATTTTGAAAGTCTTGGAATACATATAAAGACATTGAAATAAATTATTATTGATATAATAATATACACAGCTCTTCAACTAAATTGCACCAGATAACAAAATGAGATTTATGAGGTATGTTACACAATACAAGATGTAATTGGTTTGAAACGAAAAGTAGGTACGGAAGACAATACAATAATCGGTACTGAGTGTATCTGTTCTGGGCAGCAATAATAGCTTGTATATAGAATAGTATCAAAATAGGAAAGATTTCAAATGGCTGTTTCTGGTATCTCACAAGATAGAAGCTTAACGTATCTTACATCCAAGAGATGAAAAACATTCTGAATTATGTATGTCTGACAGTCTTCTTGGAAGAGGGGAACCAAAATTATCTGCAAGTAAAAAATAACTTCAACTTCCAAAATCTTTTTGATCATCTAACTTATGGTACCACATCTAGCAATCATTGATTAGAGTTAAAATAAAGCATATTCGGCAAGAACACAAGTCAAATCCCATACCATAACATTCCAAGACAAGGCTATATCATCTCGGAAATGTGTTTCCAGAAGCCATTTACTGCAGCATCTCTACAAAAAGTCATCAATTACAATCTGTCAGACTAAACTGCATTTATTTGAAAAGGCTATGCAGTGCCAATCATTATCAGTCCTATAGTCCTTTAATCCTGAAAGACTTCCAGTACTCAAGACCACAACAGCCTGAGAAAGAACTGTGTAAATTATAAAAGTTAGCAGATCATATCATCAAGTTTTAAAGGCATTGTTTAATATAACAAAATATCTAACACTAGTGAACAAAAATTGTTCTCTCATTGTTTCATTTAATTAATTATTATGGGACCAAAGTTTGAATTTGAAGCTAATAGTATCTCACATAAAATGATTATAAGATGAAGGTGATGCATCACAATGAAGCTGGAGAGTAGTATGCAAATGTTGTAAAGCTTTAGGCCTTGCAGCCTCAACAAATACAACAATCATAAACAATGCAGAAAAAATTAGTGTTCTGATCTAACAGTACCTACTGTTTTTGCATGTAATACTATATATACAAGGAGTGCATGTTTAGAAAAGACAAACTTTTGACTTTATGGATTGATGATTTGACCAAAAAAAAACAAGTTTATGTTACTCAAATAATCATGAATAAAGCCAAGGCTTTGATAAAATTAAGAAAGAAATAGATAGTAATAATTTGTTACTAGTAGAAGATGATTTTTAAATTTTAATCCCTCTCAAAAAAAATTCATAACGTTAAAGTATCTAAGGAAGCTGCAAGTGTTAATATTATGGCAACTAATAAACATCTGACCAAATTCCAAAGAATTATAAATGAAGATGAATATTCTTCTGATTTATTCTTCCGGTCTTTAATGTGGATGAAACAGGATTGTATTAGAAAAGGATGCCATCTAGGTCCTTTATTATTTCTGAAGAAAGTCTCCCTGGTTTTAAAGGCTCAAAAGATTTCTTAACTTTTCATCAGAGCCATTGAAACTAAAGCCATTGTACTGTACCATTCAGAGACACCAAGAGCAATGAAAAGGATTGTGAAAGCACTTCTTCCAGTTTTTTGGCAATACAATAAAAAAGTCATGGGTTATGAAAATTACTTTTACTAAACAGTACATCCGACTCTTATCCTGAGGCTTCCAAGTTTTGCAAAATTAATAACTTTCCTAAGAGAGTGTTATTGGTCAAGGACAATGTTCTCAGCCACCCACCTAATCTTCAAGACATCCCTAATGGACATTTAGATCTCAAAATATTTATTTACTACCATACACAACATCAATTATTCAATCAATGGACCAAGGCATGATTGCAACATTCCAGGTATATTACCTGGAGACAACCTTTAGAAGTACAATAGAGCTAATTGATACAGCAATTTTGGTGAAGAAGTACTGGAAGTTGTATCATATTTTGATGATCATCATCAACATTACATTTTCCTGGAAAGAAGTGAGGCAATCCTGTATGAATGTTATTTAGAGAAAATTGTGGCCAGATGCTGTTCTGGAGTGTGATGGCACAGAACTAGTGGCAGAAGTGGTAGAAAAAAATCACAGACATGGCAAACAAACTTGGTTTTCAAAACAATGGTGCTCAGGATTGACTGTCAATGATCAGCATGACTGTCAAGTAACTCATCGACTTTCACTTTCAAAATAAAAAAACATTGAAGAGCTAGCTTTACAGCTAGAATAGGTACCAGAAGTGCAAGAATCATAAATGAAGCACTTTTCTATAAAGTTAATGCAAGACAATCTTACCAAAATCTAGATAACTTCTACACCAACAACCTTGACTGGGTGCACAGCTTTGCAATCTTCAAAGGAGTCAATATTCTTTTCCAGTCCTATCATATTTTGTTGGAAGAACTGCAAAATGTTGTGACTGATGTGACAGTGAACACTGACAAATTTCTTATGAAAGCAGAACATGCAGAGCCATTGTCAAGAGAGTTTGCAGTAGTAGCAGACTTCAGTGATCCCAAAGAGTAGATGTGAAATTTTTTACTAATTACTGATATTTATCATTAAATTCTTGTAAAGAACGTTAGAATATATAGTCATAAATTAAGTTTTATGCATAATTACATAGAAAAGTAATTGAGTTTGCATAGTTATAAAAAATTTTTTGGTCTTGGAACATCTCATTACTTTGCATTATAACTTTACCTCAATTTATATAGTTTCAATTTATGATCTCTTCTGACAGAACCTAATCCAATGTAAATCAATATCTATATATTCTGCCTACTTCCTACTGATATCTTGGAAAAAATGCAGACATAAGTGGCAATATCATAAAAGGATAAAGATCTTCATGAAGTCCCACAATTCTTAATCATTCAAAAGCTGTAAGTATTTCTTCTGCTACAATATGTCAGTCATTGTTAATTACTAGCAATGCAACACAGAATTTGGGTAATGCAATTCAATACACATTTTGTGCAACTGTTATTTATAATTATGCTAAAATAGTGGAGTGGATGAGGATCACATAGGAATTTTGCATATGGATTGTTGTTATAATCATTTTCCTAACGTGACCCTGGAAATTTGTACGGTGAATATCATACAAATTTCCATCTAAGCCAACATGACATTCTTGATAATGCAATTTTTATGAAGAGCTGTATATATATATAAACAGTGAATGAACGAGTAGCCATTGTTTATTTAAAAAATGCATATAAAAAAAAACACAAAAAAATAATTATTCTTTCGTTATTGTTGTTTTATCAAATTTTCTTAAATGTCTCATAAATGCTTTTAAAAGCATTTTGTAAAATTTAATCAATTATAAAGTTTCATTCTCAGACAATTATTTCATTTGATGTGAATCACTGCAAGTAAAATTATGTTCATATATCATTATAGATCAAAAACATATGTATAAATAGCTAATTGCTTATATTTACTGAATACACACATCTATACACACAAAAAAATCATTTCAATTTCATACTTCAATGATAAAAAAAAAAAAAAAAAATTANTTAATTTTTAATAATAGGACAATATTATGAAGAAATAAAGTTTTTATTTTTTTAAATTGTCTAGTGTTTCTTAAATAAAAAACATGATTTTCTTAAGTAATATAATTTTTCTGATTCTATTTCTCATCAGAAAGCATTAAATTATTATTCATGCACTAATTTATTATGGATGCTTGAAATTTAGCCAAAGCCAGCTCCAACAACTATTTATCTATTAGTAATCTTAACTACATTACATTCGAAATGACTTCCTCAACATATTGCCAACTCTCACTAGTACTAATCATTATTGAGTGTTATGCTACACTTACATATGTATTATAACCAAAACCCAAATCAGACAATTTAGGTTTAAGTTTGATTCAAAACAGTAAACAAACAAGTGATAAATTCATTGAAATGGTCGAAAAGGAGAACTAAAAGATGGAATGTCAATCCATGCTCTACTTATTTTGTGTTGTGCAAAAAGACTTTTTTTTGTAATGCTCGAAGTTTGTAAAAGTAATTTGATTTATTAAAAAACAAGATTTTGTTTTTATTTGTGAAAAATAAAGGGCATGAGTTTATGCCCATCAATTTATCTTACATCAAGATTACAATCACTACACCGTTAATCACTAAATCACTCATAATTCACTGCAATTATGAGTGATTTATGCAATCACCACACCATTCATAAATTGTAAAAACGAGCCAAAACACTCATCAAATACCCTTAATTCACTATTAAATTAATTGAAACCTAATTAATTTTTAGACTGATGCACAAAACAGAACTAATAAAACAAAATAATTGAACTAGACATTTCCTAAGTTTAATAAATTCACTTGTATACAGCAGTCTTGACCTCTTGTCCAATAGAACAATTTATGAATGTTTTCTGAAAGCAGAACATATTAAACAAAAATATTTTTTCACAAATTAAAGACAAAGTCGCTCTAAAAATATATTTTAGAGTAAATAATTTAGGAAATCAAAATCTTTAAAATGTAGGAACAAACACAGATAAAGGGTTAAAATGTACAGGTATGTGCCACTTAATGACAGAAGTCCTATAAGATTATAATGAAGCTGAAATCCTTAGCTACTTTTATGGTATCTAAACATAGAAAGGTACAAATACTTATCGTTGTGTTACAACTGTGTTATATAAGTAGACTATACCATATAGATTTGTCTAAGTTTGCTATTATGTTTGCTTCACAACACTTAATAAAATATTTCTCAGAAAATATTCCTGTTGTTAAGCAGCACATAATTATACACTTGATTAAAATAATTTGAATGTATTAAAAATACACATTCACAAGGAGAAAAAGTTGAATGCAATTATTGAAAATAAGCCCAATAAATAGAATATATTTTATTATTATTAAAATTAAACAGGTTTTAAAATACTGTCATCAATTTATTATTTACCCTTATGAAAGTTAGGATCGGCATTTTGCTTGAGAAGATAATCTACAATTTCATGATGAGCAAAACTACAAGCATACATTAATGCATTCCAGCCTGCGTGAAGAATGCTATCAACAAATACACCTATAAAACAAATTTGGTATATAAAAATAGCTTGCATATACCGTATAAAATAATATATATGTATTTGTATATTGCATGTATACAGAACCACCCAAAACAAAATCTACTTACGAAGTTTAGTGCTTTATTATCAGTACAGTAGAGCTATGACATCTAGGCACTAAAAGGTCATAAATGGTTATAAAAATTATAACTTGTATGGATTTTTATAACAATTTAGATGATTTTTTAGTGCCTAGATGTCCTAAATGTAATTATGAGTGAATGACAAGGTCATAAAAATCATACTAAATATCAACTAATTAATGCTTCTAGTCTTTTAAATATTATTTTATTAAATATTAGTATTTTTTTTACTATAATCTATTAATAGGACTTATCACACTGATTTAACTTGCAGATGAAATTAGAGAGAATGAATCAGTCTCATGATTCAAAAGAATAAATTTTAATTTGCATCTGTATACAGACTTTTCTTGTATTATGGACCTTTTCATCCCTTATCGGCAAATGTTTTAATCAGTTAATTTTTATTTATTTAAATTGTAATTACATACTTAAAACACTTTAGACAACTTAGTTTTAACTTAAGCACAAAAGGACTTCCAACAAAAGGAAACAAGCAATGTCTATTTAGAGTTTTATCCTTCAGGAATGGGAAAAAAAACTTGGAAGTTAGGAATAAGTCATCTAAAATATTTTATTTTATGTAATTACAGTTTAATTATTAATTTTTTTTATAATTTTTATTGTATAATTAAAAACTTATTGTATTTTAGAAGTACAACTGATAAAACACTTGCTGACGAAGGACGAAAAGGTCCAAAATACAAGAAAAGTCTGTATACAGGTACAAATTAAAGTTTATTCTTTTGAATCATGAGACTGATTCAATCAACAAGTTAAATCAGTGTAATAAGTCCTATTAATAGATTATGATCACAATCGACTAATATTAATAAAACATACTAAATATCATTCAAATCATCAGTTCAAACCATTTATATTACAATTTGTTCAATACATAATTGCTTTCGACTTCAATAATCTTTGCATCGTGGAGAGCATTACGGAAAAACAATTGCAATATTTTTCAGATCTGAATCTTAAGATATCTCTAGGAAAAGATTCTCAAATGCTAGAATGTTTTAAGTAACTTGATAATTTTGGAAGAAACCCAAGACATCTTCAAATTATGGTAACAAATTTGGTGATAAGACTGAAGAAGATTGCAATTAGAATTGAAAGCAAATATATTGAACATGTTTTAATTAAATGCGCCAAATAAAAACACCTCTATGTAAGCTGAAACTAATTTTAACTTGAACAAAACTTGAAATATTCTTTTCAACAATACTTTAATTTATTTAAGTTGTTTATTTATACAGTATAAATGAACATTATTTCAATTTGTTTTTAAAACTGTTAGAATGTCAATTCGAATTTACAGTTTGTATCTTCTTGTTAAACCTGATACAAACCTATGAAAATGAAGTCAAAAACATTCATTTAAATAAATTAAATTGTTCAAGCTAAATGTTCCAAATGCCGATTTGAAAAGTATTTGAGTAAGATTCATATACCTTGTCATTCAATTGTATAATTCACAATGAAGACATTTAAATTTTTGGCTACTTTATGTGCATGTTTGAATCAGCATGTGCTTACAAATACGTGTGCACACACACATGTTCATACATACATACATTACACATAAAATAAAGCACAAGATGATTCAAAATTCACAAAACTTGGCATCATCTTTATAAATAAACAAACTACTGCTTATTTCAGGAAAACAACACTTTATTACACAAAAAGATTTTCAGCCAAACATCTGACCATCCTCAGTTTAGAATCATCTTTGTTCTATCTAATTCTAAACAGTTAAAAAGTTTTTAAATTGAAACTATTCTGAATATTTAATTTGAATTCTGTTCCAATAAGAATTCTGTTCTACATAATTTGGAATTGTTAAACATATGGTTCTAAGCTAAGGAAAGATTTTCTTCGTTTAATAAAAAAAAATTGTCATCATCCTGAAATAAGCAGCAGTTTGATTTATTTATTTACAAAATAATTTATTTTAAACTTTTATAAAATTTTACTTCAATCTATTCAATAAACACTATTATATAAGAACAAATTTAAAATAAAAATCTTACTTTAAAGAAGTAAATATATATTTTAAAAAGATTTTAAATAAATAACCTTTATTTTCAATAAGTGATTTTACAGCTTCAAAATTTCCTTGAATAACTGATAATCTCAATTCGTGGAGAAGAGAAATATCTGTAACTCCTCTATGATTATTTACTTTATGTGAAGAAACAGCTTTCGTGTCATTATTTTTCTAAAAAATTAAAATCATAAAAAATTAACTATTTGAACTAATTACATATTTATATAATTTTTTTTTACAAATATCTTGATCAATCAAAATCAATCAATCGATCACTTTCCTCCCCTCTCTCTTTCTTTTTGGTGGAAAGTGATTTTACATTTCGAAATTTGAAAGTAAGAATAATAATAAACTTTGTATCTATAATAAAACAAAATATAAATATAATTTTAAACTGATTATCGCTGTAATACATTTAAATATATGAGTCATATATTTAACTATACATAATTAATAAATCTATAACAAATTTATCAATCTATATAGTGAGGTAAAAATTTTGAATTGAAATCACATTACCTCAGATCCGTACTGAAGTAACGTGATTTCAACCAGGGGCTCAAGCCCCTAAGCTTTCCATATCTGGTCTCAATTTTCATCTGTCTAACTTCGTTCTTGAAACTAACAAAGGACGAATGACTAGAGGAATGATAGCGAAAACGTATAAGTTTGTAATTTGAAAACTTCAGCCCAATTATACCAGGCCATTGTCGCTAATGTCAATAAGATTGTGTGTTCTTTATAAATCATTTCTCAAGATATATGACATGTACTATAACCTACTTGTTTTATACTAGTTGTGTTGATCTAATAATTTTGTTCTGTACATATAGATGTAATTAACAACAATATGAAAGTCCATGCTCAGATAGGAACAAAAGGCAATAAAGTTAGTTGACTGCTGGTTTTGAAAGACAGAATTGTGTCCATATGTATCTTTATTAAAATATACAACTGCAACCAAAAATGCAATACGCCAACAACTGATTATATTAGGCTATTATATTGCAATTATTTTGAATTAATTACTAATTAATTTGTCACTAGAGGAGGTGTTAGGCATCACCTCTTATTAGATTTAATAACTGTAATTAAATTAATTAATTTAGAAAATTCTGGAAGAAAAGAATCAGCCTAGAGTAGGTCTCAAATCTGCAACTGCCACTTATTGTGCAGATGCATTGCCAGTTATACTACCTGAGCCTCTAGTCAGATCTCTTCAGATACATTTAAACATGAGATAACCATCATCAGTTATCTATGGTGCTGGCTGAGGATGCATTCAGTGTCTGCATCCTGTAAACATTTACCTATGGCACAACAATCAACAAACCCAACAATAGTTATCCCATGTTTAAATGTATCTGGAAGAGGAGATTGGACAGGAGGCTCAGGTAGTGTAACTGGCAATGCATCCACAAAGTAAGCGGCAGTTGCGAGTTCGAGTCCTTCTTCGGGTCAATTCTTCTCTTCCAGAATTTTCTAAATTATTTAATTTAATTATAATTATTAATTCTAATAAGAGATGGCTCCTAACGCCTCCCTCTAGTGACAAATTATTTAGTAATTAATTTAAAATAATATGATATAATAGTCCGGTAGCTGGCATATGTTTGTACATTGGGTTTGTGGATGTTAGTTTATGTATTTGCAATAAAAAAATTAATCTGCATGAATAAAAATATACAACATATATATTTGTATAACAAAGTTTTTCATCAACTTTAACTGATTTGAAATAAAACCATACTGAAAGTCAGAATATATACAAAAATATTAATTTCTTCTTTACAATACTAGCTTTCATTATGACTGAATTTCGATCAATAATGAAAATTTTGTTGATATTACACATTTTTTTACATTGTATGCAAAATTGTTTTGTAAGAGAAGCAATATTAAAAAGAAAATACAAAACCAGGTTACACTTTAAACGTTCTGCTTAGGCATGAATATTTTGCATTTGAAATGATATCATTCTCATTAATGCATGAGCATAACACTACGTACTAATGTTGGAATTTCATATACCCAACAAAAACCACTATAGTTTTCATAAAAATTTAACAAAAAGGTAATTATATTAATTATTAGGATTGTTGTAACATATAGAAAATAACTAAGAAGAAGAATCTTATTTCAATCTTTGATTTGTATAAAATGTATTCAGGCACCTGTTCAAACTCACCTGCATTGTTTCTCTACGTGTTACGGCAGAGCATAATGTGGTATGACCTTGCTTGAAAAACACCACATGATGCAACAAGTAAACTTTAACCAATGACTACCAGTGTTTCTTCTATTAACTGTCATTTTGGTAATTTATTTATATTTGTAATTAAATCAAATATTTTAAAATAAATTATATACATAAACAATTTTTATATAATGCATTTATAAACTGAAATTAGAAACATTCAATTCTTTTACGTGACTTGCATCATATATTATCGTTTGAAATGCATGATATATGTTAAAAGTAATTGGATAGGATAGCAGTTATTTTAACTTCTGAAAGAACAATAAAATAAGGTTAAATTATCTACATTCCTTAATATACTTTGATTTAAATTTTAAATATAGCCATAATCTAATAGAATATTTCTATATTCATAAAGTCACTAACATACGGTTCTAAATTACCTAAAATTTTGTATATTATATATATTTAAGTGTAACACATTTTAATAAAATTAGGTCAGGAAAATTTTCTTTTCCAACTTTCCTGCATTCTTTTAGAAGAAACAAGGAAAGTTGTTTGATTAATGTTATCAAATATACAATTTATGCAATAAAAAAGTTTATTTATATTAAAAAAAAACTAACAACATTACTTTTCGCTAGCTGATAAACGAGTGATGTAATAAAATTTTCGTAAGAGCCACGTCATTTTTATTTTGCATAGCGGTCTCAAGGGATTATTATACTACATGACTTAGAATCTTTTCCTCAAAATTTCAATAATTTAATAGGAAAACAAGAGAAAATAATCTTGTTTAAACCATTATTTTAAAATTTTACAGTAGAAAATGTCTTTGACAATGAATTTCCTCCCCCCATTAACAATAAAACAATAAAAACCCCAAACAAATATTAAAATACAAAAAACAAAAAGGTAAAAATAATTTAATATTTACATAAAAGGTAAAAAGTACAATAAAGAAAAGGCTTAAGAATTATAAATAATCTTTTACAAGAGTTTTAAAATGATAAAACTATCATCATTCAAAAGATTTTTCAGCTGCAAAATCTATTAATTGCATACTTTTTATTCTACTAAAAGCAAACCAACGTCGTAAGTCCTAGTGTTTATAATACTAGGACTTACGGCATTGGTTTGCTTTAGTGGAGATGTTTGTTTCTTTGTATTCTAGTTATTAATTCATTATAAAAAGAATTTATAATGTGGTACGATCTTTAAATATAACAACAAAATGTTCAAAGTTTGAATTTTTGCCAAGTATTTCTTTTTTGTTTTAAGTAATAAATTTATAATACTTAAATGTATATAAACATTATTACTTATGTTAGTATATTAAAATCTAATTAAATTTGCATAAAATCAAAATTTTAAGCACATTTAGCATATTTCATATAGTGACTTTACGGTAAATATGTGCTATTTTAACATATAAAAACTTTATTAAAAATTTATATACAAGTTTTGAATAAAAAATTTACTTGAATTTAAATCAGAATTTTAAAATTCATGACAACAGACAGCTAGAAATATTACACCTTTCCTTTTATAAACAAAATATATCATGAAAAAAATATATTCAGATCTCTTTTCAATAAACAGAAGAACAATTTATGTATGGACACGTGTACAAATAAAGGAACAAAGAAATTGGGAAAATATTAAACCATCTTTAAATGCAATTATTGAATTAAAATAAAAAGTAAAATAATAAATAAATATTTGTATAACTTTTATCAAAATTTTGTTTATTAAAATTCTATCTGACTCTAAATAATTGTTTATAAAAGTAACTCGAGTTAAAATACATTAACAACCAGTTTCCCACACAAAACCCTTTCTTAACAGATTACCTGCGTGTTGCATTTGGGGCCATCGAGCGCTTATATGGAGCCCAGCTAGTTTTCTATTTTAGTAAAAATAACATTAATTTTATAGGGGTAAGACACACTACGGGTCTCTCGAGTCCCCACTCCTCCCTCTCAAAAGACCCTATCGCACCGCCTTATCTCACCAAACCAGGTAAATATCAAAAGATCCATTTCCCGAAGATTTCAAGTTACGTTACACATGATAATTATATATTTTTTGTAAATGCATCAAAGATGAAAACAAGAGTCTAATAAACTTGCACCAAATCTCTAGTTAAATATATACTTCATACCGTCGGAAACAGGTGAACTAGAAACTCCTCCGGGGCGAAGAAATTTAGGGGTGCCACCGGCAGTGCCCACAGACTACGAAAAAGAGGTGCATCGTGCATCACGCAAGGAACTTCAAATTCTACGACCGAACGTCGACTCCTGCAAGACGACACCGGACGCACTCGGGAATAATTCGGCCTCGAAAAGGAGGAACGGGGTTTCGGTCAACGCAATAGGTCAATAGACAAATATCGTTCATTAGTTTCTTTTATATCTGCAGAATAGACTATTAGTTACGAATTTTCTGTTGTTTGGGGCCTTCTTGGGGATTAGGAAAAGGGCAACAGGAACGAAAAGGGGGACACGTGTTACAAGTGCACGTGTCCCCCTCCTTTTCAACCTACGGGCGCCCCTGGGTGCCACAGCCGCAATATTAGTCGTAGCGCCCCCGGTTACCATTAATCAGAAAATTTCGACAGTTGCCATATTGTATATTTCAGAGAAACACGTCGACGTCACATACATATTGGACATAAACATAGAACATAATGGTTAAATTATGGCAATTAAAACTACAACAAACATAAACATACTCACGTTGTCAGGATTAATTTGAGTTTCTTCCCTTTTACGGTCGTCATTTAATTGTTCGTTATCGTTTTCATTCGTTTCTCCCTCACATTTATTTAGAAAATCGTGGCCGAAATCGGAAGTATTACGCGACGATTCGTCCATCTTCTTCCTCGACGAGCTTTATCGCCTACTGCCGATGCTTAGAGTAAACGCGAACACGTGACCCGATTTTGATGTCTCCGGTCGTTTTAAATATAACGCCAAGTCACTTAAACGACACACACACACACAAAAAAAAAAAAAAAATCTAATTTTGGATATCGTTTCCTGTCGTTCGTTTCGGAAATGTTTTTGAAGTCATTTATTAATAAATTTTCACCAATAAACGTAAGAAAATGAAGGAATATAAAAAATTTTCATAAACATTTTTTGTTGAATTTTGTAATTATAATAATAAATTATTTTATTTTTTAAATGTGTATAATTATTAAAAGGAATAAAATTAATAAATTTTAAGCCGAAATAATAATTGTTTTAACTCTTTCTGCTCTGTTGATACTAAGAGGGTATCCATCATGGGTTCGGCAAGACCTACAATGAAGACATTCGGGTGATGTGAAGTGGGACCCGAATATTGGAAACAGGCTATCCTTGAAAATTCTCTTTGCTCTTCCATATTCGATCCAGGGTTTTCCAGAGCGGCAGGTTGACGTCTCAATCCAGCTTAAGGCCCGATGCCTTAAGTAAAAGCCCGATCGGGCCTTAAGTAAAAGCCCTGGGAAACGCAGAATCAAATCCAACCTTCTTTTTTAATTTTCTTCGCCTTATTGGCTCTAAGAGGACCTTTTTTTAGCAAGTGGGTTTGTCCAAGTCCAAGATGGGGCTGTCGGGTGGTGAGGAACTGGGTCCAATCGATGTATTCGGAATAAATCATTCATAAAAAGTTCCTAGTTTTTTTCTACCTCTTGGATTATATTCTGGATCCTCAGAGCAGTAGGCTGAAGCTTTCAAGGACAAAGTAACTGAGAGTTGAGGTCATCTTGACATGACTTTAAGAGATGTCTTTTATGGCATGATTTTGCACACACCATTCCGCTGAATAGTCGGCAAAGTCATGGCATAAGAGACATAGGCCTAATAATACATATATATGAATGAAAAGGGCATGAGGAATGGGGAAAATAGAGGAAAAAGCGCAAGCTTTCTTGATTGGCAAACAATCGGTATCAGATGGAAAAATCAGGTTCCACATTCCCACCCAATAACAAATGTCTAAATACGGCCCTGAACTCCTTTAATCGCTCCGATCATCCGGCCGTCAGTTTTTACAGATGCGAATTTTTATGTTGAAAACCTCATGTTCAATATAAATGTAAACTTTCCCACTATCCCTCCCTTAATTTTCCTGTTTCTCTTTTTGAATTGACATTTCTGTTTTTCTGTTATTTTATCTATTCTATTAGTTTTCATTTTCTCACACACATGCTTTCAATTCTTTCTACTGTATACAATTGCGAGAGTGTAACCTTATATCTTGTACTGTAAAAAAATAGGATTAGATTGATGCTGTAAGGCAACGATCTGTCAAGGGGGAAGTACGGAGTAACTCTCGGGAGGACTTTCTATAGGATACTGGACCCAATTTTTATAGTAATTATCCATATATTAATATATCAGGTTCGAAATAAATGCAAAAAGTACTGTATATTAGATGTGTAGTACAGGTACGACAGATTTGCTATAATTACAGTACTTGCTATTTATCAAACAGGAAAAAGGAAAATTACTTGTTACACCTAATGTACTTTTCTCTTAGAAAACTAGCATCTAATTATATCCGGAGTATAGGTTTCATTTTTATCTGATTCAGATAGAATTGTATAGTATTTTTTATACAGTATAACTATTCTTCAACAATGAATTTACTCTTAATTATTTATATATATATTTTAAACTTTTTACGCTCTATGGGCATTAGGAAGATCTTTTTTAAGGCTTATAATGGGTTTAGTCAGGCCCATAATGGGGTAGCCGAATGGTGAGGGACTAGACCTGATCGTCTATAAAGAAAATTTCTAAGATTAGATCCGATACTGCACCTCCCAGAACGATAAAGTGATTATACAGGGAGTGTAAAACCCTCGCTTTATACAGGTGTAGATCTATATACATATATAGGTCTGTACAGGTATATACACATAGTCGCTTTGTACAGGTATAGGTATACACTTAGTTGTGAATCTGAGAAACACAGATGTTTGGTGTTCATTAATATTATTATTTTGTATCTTTTATTATTTCGTATTCCTTATTTGGCATAGGCTACGTGGCATTCTGCCATCGTTAAAACTTTAATGCACCTAATATGAATAGCAAATAAGTGAATTATATTATTAGTATAATTATTCAGCATAAATAGTAGCGTAACCAGGGAGGGGCGCAGGCCCTTTATCTTTGTAAATAAATTAATTAAGAAGGAATCAAATTAAGTACAGGAAGATTTGAATGCGAAAAAACTCTTATACACACGTATAAGAACAAATACGTGTATATTTATACACGTATTTAAAATATCTAAAGAATAAGATTTTACTCTTTACCCACAACCAGGACCTACGAGATGGGTGCAGCAGGGGCACCTCCCAGTGTATGAGCTTTAGGGTGCAGGTTTTAATTCGGGGCCCCTTAATATCGGTTCTGCTTACGCTACTGCAAATAAACATCATTCATAATTCCTAAAGCTGTAAAATCGCATGACAATTCACAGTTCGTAACATTAATTAAAGGAGAATTATAAAATATTGGAACTTGCCCAAATTCTTAATTTTTTTTTATTTTTATGACTGTCATTTCATTGCCAACATCAAGCTAAAACTTGTTTAATGTATTTTTAGATGCGGAAATATTTTGTAAATTATATTTTACAGCCTGTTTTTGATTCCTGGGGCGAAAATACATTTCTTGGAAGCAATTATAAAATTAATCTTAAATAATAATTTATATATATAATAAGCAAATAGAAGAGACCAGATACACACGACTCCCGTTATCTCCTCACTCCTTTGATCTTTAATCACCAAAATTTAATAGCATCTATCACCCTAATACACAAACCTCCCTGCAAAAATTCAGAAATTTTCGACAAAAAGCACAGGAGTTGTTAAGCTTCAAACAGTGGAACAAACTGCTGCCCCCACACACACATACACATACACACACTAACATCCATACATACAGAAATTACCCCCAAATTTTTTTGCATTTTTCGACATTTTAAAGGTGTCCTAAGTCCAAAAACGTAAAAATCTTGGGGGTCATTTTCTGACCGATCGTCATACTTTCCCTCTGTTATATATAACAGAGTTGGGAAAGTAAAAATCGCGGGTCACGTTGAATTTTTCGAGTTTTCTTCACGTTTGTAACAGCTAAATAGGGCCAATTTATTTCCCATAGAAAATCCTCCCCGAAAGCACCTCCTTGGTGGATTGTCCTAGTGTCCCATTAAACCTAAATTACATAATAGTTGCTTACAAATTGATTTTATGCTAGAAACTTAAAACCGCACGACAGGTGTGTGGTTTTTCCTAAGTAATATTCAAATTAAATGAGCGATGAAGCAACATTATTTCTTAAAAATTATTTATTTTAAATAAAATATAAATAATTTAACATTTTTTAAAATCTTTTTGCAATAATTTATTTTAGTTTTATCATTAAAGAATATATTTTTGAGTGAAATTAAATACGGTATATATCAATAATGTTTACATTTATTGACTGATATTGTATCAGATATAATATATAAATTTATTTGTACGTTTTTAAATAGACGTAGCAAGTGTTAAAGAAAAGATTCGCGTACAATTTTCATTGTTCGAGAGCTGAAAGCATGGAAACAATTTGTCATTGCCACTCTTTTACGTCCATTCGTTAAAATCAGGATATCAATTCATTCGTAAAACGAAAAGGAGAACAAAAGAGATAAATAACGTTTTATAAACGTTTGAAGCGCTTGGAAACAATTCATTTTTTGTGAATAAATTCTATAAATATCAAACGTGCACACACTCATTTATCAGTTTCTGTAAAAAGTCGCATCATGGTTAAACCACGCTTCATATTATTTTCCCTGGCTGCTGTTATACTAAGTTATTCAATAACAGGTATTTTCCCTTAATATAACTTCTAACATAACTTAGTTTTTAAGTACTTTAAGGATGTACGGCATGTAAATTTACAGTAGTATCTACCAGTGGTGGAATGGGTGAAACCACCGGATACTGGTAGTTGGTAGCGTGGAGTTTTCCGGATTATTCTCCGCGTGTCTTTTTTTAAACTCTTTCCGCCCTGTGGGTACTAAGAAGGCCTCTTTTAGCAAGCCTATTATGGGTTTGGCAAGGCCCACAATAGGATGGCCGGGTGGTGAGGGACTGGACCCGACATATTCGAACCTTGACTGCTCGGCATCTCCACGTGTCTAACACCTAAACAGGGGCCAATTTACCATAGAAAGATAATTTTTTTTCATTGTATACAGTCATTACTTATATGAAAAGTGTAAATATGTGAAGTGTTTTAAACGTTTATGACCGATAGACAGCTATGTAATGAAGAGAGGATGCTCGTGGAATGGCAATATGAGAAGAGAAACACGAGATAGAGTGCAGTTTAGCAATAATTGTAATCTTAACTGGATTATAGTGATAAGAAAATTCTACTACAATGACTAAATACGAAAAATAGATCAGAAAATAAAACACAAAAAGTAAGTAGAACGATGACGAGAATAAACTGAAAAAGTAGTAATAAATAAAAAGATAACGAATCAGTGAATGAAATTACAAAACAATGGTAAAGTTGCCAATTGTGCCAATCTTAGAAAGGATCATTGTTCTTATTTTATTTTAAAACTTTTATGTTTTCATTGAACGACGTCATATTTCGAGTATTCTTCTTTGTTAATTTTTTTTTATTTCACGGTTCTTTTTCTTAAAAATTCTCACCAAAACCATTTAAAAAAAAAATAATAATNCCAAACCTAGAATGAAATTGTTAAAAAATATCAATGTAAATAAAAATTTAATGAGATTTTTAATCTATTTCATTTCTTATAATGGTTTTTAATTTTCTGTTTTCTTTGCTTTTGAAATAAGTTAATTAATGAGTATTATGATGAAATGTATTTAAAATCATCATCCTGGCCATTACAAGTGAAATAAAAATATCTTTATTTCACTTGTAATTATGTTTCTAATGCATTTAAGATCATATTCATTTAGTCAGCAAGAATCTTATATAATTATTACATAAAAATGTTAATTATGATGGCACAAAAAATTGCTACAAATTGTTAAGCAATAGTTAGTTAGTGTATTGTG